TCAGTCCCTGTTCCCCTCGGGCTCTGGAGTCCTCCGCGCACGGGTTCGAGGCTTGGGAGGGTGCCTCTGAACGTCGGCCCTGGGAGTCCTCTCCCGTCACACACGCCCCGCCCGCCCCGTCTCTCCACCCGCGGCTCTGCCCCTCTCGGATCGCGCCGGGTCCCTGCTCCCAGCTGCCAGCAGCTTCCTACCGCTAGCTCTGGGAGCCCCGCTGTTGCCAGGGGCAACCACGGCCCGCCGGGGCGGCGGGGCGCAATGCATTCTGGGATTTGTAGTCCAAGTCTGTGGTCCTTCCGTTCTCGCTACGCCTCTGAGAACTTCTCCTCCCGGCATGCCCCGCGTGGCGAGGCGAGGTGGCGCGGGGCGGAGTGCTGGGGCGGTGCCCCGGGACTTGGAGGGCCCTTCGCACCTGGTCTGGGATTTTTTGGGGTCTGGGTCGCCTTCCCGAAGCTGAAGGGAAAGTGAGGGAATCCAAGTCCTCTCCAACATGGGGTCCTCTGGCCTTCCATCCACCTCCAGGTGGCCGCCGTGCCCCGAGCAGATCGGGCGGGGCGGCCTTGGAAACTGCCCTGGGAATCCCAGCGCGCTCGGTTCCGCCGCTCCCGGGGCTCGTCCCCGTCACCTACTTCCCGCTTCTAGAGCGGTCCTAGAAGGTTCAAGCATGGGGTGCGGGTGGGGAGCGAGACCCCAGCAGCAGGGGGAGGAGACAGGGATTGGTGCAGGTCAGAATTCTGGGGTGCACGCTGCAGCGATCAGGAGGCTATTCCTCACCAGCAGGGGGTGTCCCTGCTCCAGCCAGCTCTTCCCCCTCTTCCGGCGAGACCCTCCCCTCCCCTCCTTTGCAATTTCTCTTCCCAACTCCTTGGAGGGTGCAGGCAGAAACGGGAGGCACGATCCTGGAATTTCCCGGGATTTCTACAGTATTTATGATGCTTCTCATAACGGGCCCGGATGACCTTCTGTGGGACAGACTCCCTTGATCTTAATCTACCAAGGTCGTCTACTGACCAGGTGTGACAGGGCGCTGAGAACTGCGTGGGAAGTAGGCAGTCAGATCCTGAGGGCCTCCCGTGCCGGGCTGAGGGGCTCTGGTATTACCTGTGGGCAAGGTGGAGTGGGGCATGGAAGGAACTGAGCAGGATCCCACCTGGATGCTGGAGGCACCCTCAGGGCCAGGGCGGGCCCGGGGGTAGGATGGTGGAGGAGGAGACTGGGGCAATAGCTGGGGTGCTACAAAATGAAACCTGAGCTGGGTCAGGAACCTGGAGAGGGGATAGATATAAATAGCATTCAGGAGGAATAATCATGGCCATGTTTGAATAGCCACTGACGGACAGAGAAGCCGGTATGAGCAAGTGTCTGGGTTCTCAGCCCTGAGAGGCCGATACTGAGATGGGGAACCTGGAAAGCTCGATTTTGGGAGAAAGATGCTGCACTCACATTAGGACATTGTATTTCTCAGGTGCTCACGGGACTCCAAGGATGGAGGGGTCTTGTTCATTTCTATCCTAACTAGCTCTCCTGGTTTGAGAGGGTAATTTTGAACATCTAGACTCAACTAGTATTTTTCCGATGAGGCCAAAATTGCTTTGGCCCCACCCCTCTTCTCCCACCCAGGAATCTGGGCCTTGCCCTGTCTCCTGCCTCCCTCCCCAATAATAAAGCAAGCACAAGTATTCCTTTTATCTTTATATTGAGGTAAAAAATAAAATACAGAACATTATGGATGTGGGGGAAGGGACAAGGCTTCCTTCTATAATTGACAGCAGGGGCTGATGGGAACCAGAAGCTCCAGGGAATTAAAAAAAAATAAAATATATATTTATACATTTATATATATATCATGTTATGCATGTGAGTCCCGGAGAAGCAGGCAGAAGCAGCAGGAAGCAGCTAGCACAGAAACATGGGAGTGGGTATCACACGCCCAAGCGGCGAGATTCCTTTGACTTCGGTGACAGCGATCCCCACCTACCCAACGCACCCACAGATTAAAAAAAAAAAAGGAAACTTCCCTTTTAAGAACAGAACCACCCAGTCATGTTTGCCCTGTGACAAGAAGGAAAAAACGCAGGCTAACATCGCCGATAAGGCCATTTCCTTCTCCCAACAAGGCAGTACCTGCTCTTTCAATACCGAGGCTGGGGCCCCACGCCCCTGCCCCTCACAGATGCTGCACGCACCTTGACGCCCAGAGAGCAGTATCTGGGATGGAAGGCAGCCCTCGCCGTTTGCTTACTTTAAGACAGCCTCCAGGCAGGGGGTTTTAGTAAGCGTGGCAAAAATTCTGGCGAGGCTGGGTGCCAGGAGGGGCCTAAGGACCCCCAGGGTCTGTGATTTAAGCCTCCAGCCCACTGGAAATGATTGACCTCTAGGGATTTTTTTTTATTATTATTAACTTAAAGGGGCGGTGCACTGTATACCCCCCTCCACTGTGAGAAAGGGGGCCCAGTCCCTAACTACTCCCACCCTCCACCCCCAAAACACACACACACACACACACACACACACACCCCTACTAAGGCACAGCCAGGGTGGGCACATGCTTTGGCAATGAGGCCCTTCAGGAGGCCCAGGGTCTGAACAGCTGCTACGAGGGGTGTGTGATGTGGAGCTCAGCACCTTTGGAGTTGGGGGTGGCAGTTGGGGGGGGGGTGAACAAAGTCTCAGTGCTCCCAAGGAAATCGGAAGAAGGAAGGCGGGAAGAAGTTGTCAGAAAACAAGGCAGGTGAGAAAACAAATAGGGCTAATGGCCAGAAAAGGAGCCCGCAGGCAAGGAGCGAAAACACAGGCAAAACGGGCGTGGACAGCGAACAGCACAGGGAGCGGAGGGAACGCGGGGCAGGGAGAGCAGGTGAAAGAAATGGGAGCCAGTGAGCTGCCCGCCGAGGAGAGGGGACATCAGAGGAGCACAGAACTCGGGGAAGTCACCTGTGGAAAGAAGAGGGGCTCGGGAGCTCCTGGACAGAGCCTCAGACCCTGACAAAAACCAGGCGGGCGGAGTACACCAGGTCGGCCACATAAGCCAGCAGGTTGATGGCCGTCAAAATGGCCACAGCCAGGCGACGGTCCCAGGGGCACACGTAGCGGATGTGGCTGCTCCTGCAGCTGGAATCCTTCCAGCGCTCGGGATAGCCGCCCATCCTCTCGTCGAACTGGTAGAGCGGCCAGAGGACCATGGCCGAGGCGTAGAAGAGGACAGAGAGCAGGGCCAGGCCCGACAGGAAGCTGGGGAAGGGGATGGGCAGCGCGTTGGTGCAGTCGAAGAGGTTCAGCAGGATGGCCACGGCGGCCAGGACGAAGCAGATGGCGTACACCGACACGCACCACTCCAGCGCCGGCTTGTGCTTGTACAGGTAGGGGTCGCTGATGAAGGCGAAGATGATGCAGGCCACGAAGGTCTCCACCACCTTGAGCAGGCCCGGCACCGTGGCCATGTAGCCGGTGATCTCGCCGGGCCGGGCCCGGGTCCAGGCCACCTCGGTGGCATAGGCCACACAGGCGATGCAGGAGAAGGCCGTGGCGGCGATGGCGTGGTCCCTCGAGCGGCCGTGGGACAGGAACTGGACATAGGTGGTGGGGTAGATGATGGAGGCCGAGAGGCAGAAGAGGGCGGCGTAGCAGGCATAGGTGATGGGGAAGTTGCGCCAGGACAGTGGGAAGCGAGCCTGGAGCCCACCTAACTCCACCAAGATGATGAGGAAGGTCACGGCGAAGCAGAAGCACCAGGCAAACATGCACCAGTTACCCGAGAACCCCACCCACGCATTCACGCTGGCCACCAGCGAGAAGGCCACGCAGGTGGACAACAGCTGGAGCAGGCGGAGCAGGCCCAGGGGCTGGGTCAGGGCCCGAGTGGACCCCAGGATGGTTGGGGAGCCCAGGCCTGAAGACGAGGTCGTGGTGGTCGTGACGGTCGTGCGGGTCACCGACACCGGCATGGCTGCAATGGGGACAAAGCAAGCGTCCTGAGAAGGCTCCAACTAGGAGAATTTAGGCCCCCAGCCTTTGCCTCCGCCAGGGGGAGAGAGGAACCTGGACTCTAGCTGGGGGGGTAGCCCAGACGCAGGCCTTTCCGTTTTCAAACTGGGACAGTCCCAGGCCTACTAGGATGAGTTGGTCAATGCGGTTGCAGCCCCTTCCTTTCCTCTGGCCTCAGGTGTCCCACCTCTCGGGTCAGGGCCCAGTCTAGGTCCCTATTTCTCTCCTTGTCAAGACGCTCGTTTCCTCTCCCTGCAACCCACCTCCAGTAAAGCCCTAGAGATTTAGTGGGGGAGGGAGGGGAGGGTAAAGGGGGGGATAAATGGTGATGGAAGGAAGCTTGACTTGGGGTGGTGAACACAGAATACAATATACAGATAATGTATTATTGTTCCCTGAAACTTATGTAATTTTATTAACCAGTGTCACCCAATAAATTCAATAAATAAATAAATAATAATTTTCAAAAACCAGAGTTTTCTTTCCTTCTTTTTTAATTTACTGATTTTAGAGAGAGAAAGGGAGAGAGAGACCCGGATTGTTGTTCCACTTATCATTGGTTGAGTCTTGGATGTGTCCTGACCGGGGATCAAACCAGCAACCTTGGCCCACGGGGACAATGCTCTAACCAACTGAGCCACCAACCACAGAGCTTTCTTCCCAGACCCTCAAGGCTGCCCTCCTTCCCCCGGGGAATCGCCACCCAGCATTCAAGACCTGGCTCTCCAGCACCCCCTCCCCTGCCTCTCCCACCACTCCTGCGAGAACCAGAGACTCTGTACTGGATGACCTCTTAATAACCCCTCTCTCTCTCAACTTCCCCTCTTTTGGGTGCTCAGGGCTCCACACCCCAGCCCCTGTCCAACTTCCTCCTCCACCTGAGGCGGCCTAGACATTTCTGGCCTCCGAGGTTCACGAGTCCAGCTTCCAGGCGCGTGCATTCTCAGGGACCCACATGGCATCCGAGCTGGATTCCAGCGGGCCCCTGGCACAGGCCTCCCCTCTCGGCTGCACCCCCTCCTTTCCCCACCCCCACCTCAGAGAGCAGGAGTCTTGGGAGAACTTCGACCGAAGGGAAGTGGAGCTTCCTGTTCCCTGTCCCCTCCCTCCCTCCACATGGAGTCCAACACCCCTCAACCCCACCCCCTGCCAGCTGGCTCCCCACCTTCGGGGAAATTCAGCTCCCAGACTCTCACTGTCCAGTGCGCCGGCCCTTCCCCTGAACCCTCTAGGCCTCACACAGCCTCGGACCCGGGACTCTGAGCGCTCGGCAGCGAGCACACCTGTCACCTGCACTCCAGGAAACCCGCTTCCCCCGCACTCGCTCCAGATCTTCCCTCGGGCCCTAAAAGGTCCCCAGGCTCAGCTGCCACTCCCAAAAACCTCAGAAGGCCCGTCTCAGCCCCCAGGAAACAAAACTTCCCCTTCGAGCGCCAGGGGCCAGGCTCTAACCCCTCGGGCCCCTCCCCGCACAGCACCCGCCCGAGGACGCAGGAGCCCAGCCACGCGCCACGCGCCGCCCTCAGGGACGCGGGAGCCGGGCCCGCTCCCCGGAGCGCAGGCTCCAGGCACGTTTCCCGGGAACCAGGAGTCAGAGACCCCAGTCCCACGCTCTCTCAG